TTCAGTCATTCTTTGTATAATTATGTTTGGAGATGCACCCCTCATCCCGCTCTGAGAGCTCTGAGGGGCTGGGGCAGCATGGGTCTCTCATCTTCCAGTTTCTTTGGGGCCCAGCACAGCTTGGCATAGAGCAGGGCAACTACGCAAATGTAGTCAGGTGGCACAGCTGGCCAGGCCCTGTGCCCCAGGAGGACAACACCCAGGGCACTGTGGAGACTGGACTTGCTGATAGCCTTGTCCCCTCCAGTAATTTTGGGACATATTGGAGGCTCTCAGACTGGGGGGGGGGGAGGGGATACACCTATCCCACCTGCCCACGCTACCTTCTGGAAGAAGTTGTAGAGTCTAGCCCGGAGGAGGTAGATGTCAGCATTATTTGTTCCTTGCTTCACCTCCTTGTTGATGATTGCCAGGCAGTCCTGATGTCGCTTGAGGGCCAGGAGACAGGCCATGCTGAGGGGAGAGGGTGAGGGTCCTATCCATCTGGGGAGGTGGGCAGGAAGGGGCACTGGGAGCGGAGGGGGCATGCCAGCACTCACCATCGGTAACGGAAGCAGGCTTTATGGGGCTGGAGCTCAAAGGCATGCAAGAAGATATTCAGGGCATCCAGGTAGTCACATTGCTCAAACATAGACTGACCCTGGACACAGAGGACACTCGCTTCTGCTTCTGACCTAGCCCAGCCATGCCCATTTGCCAGTGGAGGAGAACATTACATTGGGGCAGAGAAGAAATACGGGGACAGAGACATTTAGATCCAGGAGAGACTTTAAGAGGCAGGCCCAGAAATGGTGGAAGATAGAGAACTAGGGAGAGACAAGAAACCCTGAGAAATACACTCTTGGTGTGCACATATGCACATACGTACACACACATACACAAAGTCAAAATGGAAAAAATATATCAGTACTTGGGTGTTTTTTTTCTCTACTAGGACTTGACCTCAGGGCTGGGCACTGTCCTTAGCATTTTGGCTCAAAGCTGGTGCTCTACCACTTTAAGCCATAGCTCCATTCTGGCTTGTTTGGTGATTAATTGGAGATAAGGGTCTCTGGGACTTTCCTGCAGAGATTGGCTTTGAACTGTGATCCTCAGATCTCAACCTCCTGAGTAGCTAGGATTAGAGAACGGAGTCACTGGTACCTGGCCATTTGTTGGTGGTTTATAGTTATCTATCAATTTTGAATTTTATTGATTTGCAAACGAGGTCACTGTTACTCTTTCTGTGCTCAAAGTATCTCTACTCCAGATCTGTGCTTTCACTACAACAGCACTGGCTGTACATGGTATGCAAATCTCAAGCATGCCTCATGCATGCCAGACAAATACTCTACTACAGGGAAAATAAAACTTGCTACCAGCTCAAATAAAATTAAAAATTCAGTCAGGCACCACTGGCTCACACTTATAATCCTAGCTACTCAGGAGGCTGAGATCTGAAGATCACAGTTCAAAGTCAGCCTGGACAAGAAAATCCATGAGACTCTTATCTTCAATTAACTACCAAGAAGCTGGGGAGTGGTGCTGTGGTTCAAATGATAGAGCACTAGCCCTGAGCAAATAATTTCAGGGCAGTGCCCAGGCCCTGAGTTCAAGTTCCAGGACTGGCACAAAAAAATTAAAATTCAATTTCTTAGTTACATTTGCCACATTTCAAAGGCTCAGCATTTCCATGTGGCTGCTGGTGACCCTAATGGACAGCGTGAGCAGATCATTGTTATGGCTGCAGGAAGTTCTATCAGACAATGCTATAAGGCTTTCCTAAGCCAACCACGATGGTGAGGAGCAGCAGGTGGGGACACAGATACTGGAACAAGAAGTCCTTGAGGAGATAGGACATGTCCTAGGGCTGAGGAAAGCCTCCTACAGCCAGAGGTTGGCTCAGTAGGCTTGTTGGGCCCCAGGAGGCTCAGGTACCTGCAGGTAAAGCACAAAGGTGAGCCGCTCCAAGTACTTGGTGTTCTCTGGCTGGAGGACGCATGCCTTCCGCAGGTTCTGGGCAGCCGAGGAAAAGTCACAGACCTGGATGAAGGCTTCAGCCCGTAAGGCGTAGAATTCGATCTGAGGACGAGGCACCCTTGCTATTGTCCCCTCCCTATCATCAGCCCTTCAGGGCAGGGGAAGGCATCCACCTCCCTGAGGCTTGATACCCAGTTTCCCATAGAGACTTGGTGGTCCTGGGAGGAGCCAGTAGGTGTGACAGTGAGGGAGAGGGACACTGTATACCAGCAGCTCTCTGTCCCTTGCCTCCTCTTACCATCTTGGAGTCCAAGTGGAGGGCCCGGGAGAAAAACAACACCGCCTGTTCCCATTGTTCCTGCTCCAGGCACTTATAGCCTCGTCGGTAGCTATAGGGGATGAGATGGTGCAGGCGTTGGGGCTGATCAGCTGAGGGTATAGGGCTGGGCATGAGGTAGGTGGGAGAAGACAGAGATGGGTAGAAAGGCAGGGGGGACACACACACAGACAAATACATAGACACATATATAAAAACACACGCTTTTGTGCATATGCTGGTATTAGGTCTTGAACTCAGAGCCTTGTGCTCTTGCCTGGCTTTTTCCAGTGAAGGTTAGTGTTCTGCCACTTAAGCCACACCTCCACTTCTTTTTTTTTCCTTAGAAATTCTTTTTTAAATTTAATTTATTGTAAAGTTGCTATACAGAGGGGTTCCATTAAATGAGTAAGGTAATGAGTATATTTCTTGTCTAGCATTGTTACCCCTCCTTTGTTTTTGTTTTTGTTTTTTGTTTCTGGGTCTGAGTGTGGGGCCTGAACTCCGGGCCTGGGCGCTGTCCCTCAGCTCTTCAGCTCAAGGCTAGTGCTCTACACTTGAGCCACAGCGCCACTTCCGGCTTTTTCTGCTTATGTGGTGCTGAGGAATCGAACCCAGGGCCTCATGCATGCAAGGCAAGCACTCTACCACTGAGCCACCTTCCCAGACCCCCTCCTTTGTTTTTATCCTACTATTTCTTCCCTCCCCCACCTTCCCTACTCCTCCCCCTTTGCCCCCGAAGTTGTAAATATGATTTCCAACATAGTGTCTTGTGAGTCTCATTGTTACAATGGGTCATCCAGTGTCCTTGTTTCAGGATTTTGTTATTCCCCTTCCCCTCCTCAAATTAGATAAATGTATATACAAAATTCACACACCTTCACTTCTGACTTTTTGGTGCTTAATTGGAGCTAAGAGTCTCACAGACTTTCCTGTCTCAGCTGCCTTTGAACTGGAATCTAAGCTTAGATATCAGCCTCCTGTGTAATTAGGATTACAAGCATGAGCCACTGGTGCCCAAAAGGGAGGAGCTGGGGTAGAGTAGTGGCTCAAGGTTGTGCTGCATAGTGAATGGCTGAGTAGGGTAAGAGCCTGAGCTTGTGGGACAAGGCAGTCACTTACTACTCTATGACTTTGAGAGGCACTGTATATCCTGTGGCCCTTGGCTTATCCTCCTCTGGATCGTAGAACACCTTGCTCGACCCAAAGATGCGCTTCAGCGTATCCTCGCGTTGTGGGCTTGCCCATGGCGTTCTGATGTTCTGTGAATGATCCTTATCATGTGCTACAGCACCCTAGAACAAAGGACAGCAAGCTAGTGCAGGTCTCATGGATGACGGGGGAGGGTGTGTGGAAACCAGGCCTGGTGAGAGATAGACCCTCTTATTCATAGTCCTGTGGCATTCTGGTTCATTTCCTTAGGGATGTTCCAACCTTCTTCTCTGAAGTCTTGTCTTGCTGCCTCTCGTGGTCGAGGTTGGGGATCAGAGTCCTCATACTCATACTACCCTCTGGTATCCTCTGGGATTTTCCCAGACCCCATCTCCTGCTCAGGATCCCCACAGCTGTAAGGCCCCCATTTAGATCCTGCCCCTCCTGGAAGGCCTTGGAGTTCCCAAGCCAGAGGGACCATTACCTGTCCAGCAGGCTACACTCAGTAGACACCTCATCTGACTTCTTCCATAGATTTTCCTATCTTGGTGTGGTCACCTTCCCCACTGGCCATCACAGCCAGAACTACCTTGTCCATTCAGGCCTTCAAATCCTATCTTTTCCTCTTCCTCAGAATCTCTCAGATACGCCAGCGCTGATGGCTCACACCTGTAATCCTAGCTACTCGGGAGGTCCAGATCTTTGGACCACTGTTTCCTTAGTGAGACTCTTATCTCCAATTAGCCACCAAAAAAGCTGGAAGTAGAGCTGTGGCTCAACAGGTAGAGTGCTAGCCTTGAGTGGAAAAATCTACGAGAGAGTGCCCTGGGTTCAAGGCCCCAGTACACACACACACACACGCACCCCTCAGCTTGCTTCTCTTCCCTGTCCCCTTGTCCAGGTCAATGTCATCTCGGTCTAATGCCAGTTCCGGCCACTCTTCTTTTCCCCCACAGCCACAAGTTGGGAATCGCTTTCTGCGTACAAGCCTTCGGGCCCTGCCTTCTGCCTTGGCCCTTGGCTTTAGTGTTCCTTCTCCCCAGTCCGCACCTGTTGGGAGTCTGTCATGAACCCCCGACGTGAACCCCTTTCTGAGAGGACCTCCGGCGGGTGCCACCTCCAGCGCTGCCTTGGCTCGGCTCGCACCTGGGCTTCCGGCGTTGCTAGGCACCAGCTGCAGGATGCCCATAGGCTCCGCCCTCCTAGCCACGCCCCCGGGGTCCACCGGTAGTTTACAAACTTTTATTAGTTGAGGAGGCTGAGGCCCACGGGAGGGAAAGCATTGGCCAGATTTCTGCGACGAAGGAGGAGGGCGGTGGCGGAGGACACCACGGGGCTCTTTCCTCCCAAGCCGAAGATTGAGCAAGGGCTCAGAGAATGAGGCACAGGCCCCCAGGGGACACGCTGACGGTGGAATGCGCCGGAGCGGCCGGACACGTCACCGCCTTACGTCACTTCCGCCCCGCAGAAGCATGGCGTCCGCGAGACTCGGCCCGGATTGGATGTCTCCGCGACAGGTGGCGATGTAATTGGCTTCAAGTCTGGATGACGTCAGGGGGCGGGGTCTGGGCTGTGAAGGGGGTAAACATGTCGCCGTCCGGTCTTTTGCGCGCGGAGCTGTGGCTGAGTCGAGCCATGAGCCGCCGAGTTTTGGAGCCTGGGTGGCCCACGAAGCGGTGGCTGGTGAGTGGGCTGTGGGCGACGACGCGGGGTCCCTAGCTCTAGTTCTGCCATTATCTTCCAAACCCCCCAGATTCCCTTTCTCGAGTTTTCTTACCTACAAAATGATCCCAAACTCGACTGCCTCCAAACTTGCCGGAGCTCGGCTCCTGCCTCTGGGCGCCGTGCGCGTCCCGACTTTGGGAGCTTCTGAGGGGTTTCCGGGCCCCTCTGAGTCCCGCCCCCAGTCTGGCCCTGCTGTTCGTTTCTCTTCTGCTTTGGGTCCCAAGGGACGCGCGCTTTGGGATGATGAGTGTTGTCCGGCCTCAGTTTCCCTGGTGCGGCCGGCAGGTGGCTGGCCTAGGGAACCCGGGACTGCCCGGCACGAGGCACAGCGTCGGCATGGCGGTGCTGGGACAGCTGGCGCGGCGACTGGGAGTAGCGGACAGCTGGACGCGTGATCGGCGCTGCGTCGCAGACCTTGCCCTGGCCCCGCTCGGGGATGATGCCCAGTTGGTCCTTCTTCGTCCTCGGCGGCTCATGAACGCCAACGGGCGCAGCGTGGCCCAGGCTGGTGAGTTGAGGGCTGTAGGGGCGGACCGACAGGGAGGGTGTTGGGAGCAGAGAGGGGCCCCTGGCTGCAGCAAACGCCTATTGAGCTCCAACTGCTGCATGTCCCTGAGTACTTTGGGAGCTTTACTTTCTTTATATGTGAAGTGGGGTTCATTGAAGTCCCTCATTGTGGGCAGCTCCCTTCAAGGCAAATAGGCAATAACCTGGGCCATGTTTTCCTGTGCCAAGCCAAGCTGTTTGGACTGACTGCAGAGGAGGTATACCTGGTCCACGATGAACTGGACAAGCCCCTGGGGAAGCTGGCTCTGAAGCTGGGGGGCAGTGCCAGGTGAGGATTGGGGATGCTGGAATGCTGACCTTCCAGTTGGGGTGGAGTAGGGCAGCTGCCCTGCCTCCTCAGGAGGAGGCCATCCCGAGGCAGCCTAGACAGGGTTGGTGGAGGCCGCTGACCTAGGGAGGCAACTGACTATTTATTCTTCCTCCATCCCTTGAAGGGGCCACAATGGAGTCCGATCCTGCATAAGCTGTCTCAACTCCAGTGTGAGTCTGCCCCTCTGTGCTGTACCGGGAGGGGGCAGCCAACATGGGGCCCAGCCATATCTCACCAAAGCCCTCTGGTTCCCTCTGGCTCCCCACAGGCAATGCCAAGGCTGCGGGTGGGCATTGGGCGCCCGACGCACCAGAGTGCAGTACAGGACCATGTCTTGGGCTGCTTCTCTCCTGATGAACAGGAGCTCCTGCCTCCGTTGCTAGACAGGGCCACCGACCTGCTCCTGGAACACATCCGTGCTCGAAGCCAGGGGCCCTCATCAGGCCCCTGACACCAGGAGACTATGGCTGTCTGTCTAATCACAATGCCCACAAATCCAGCCACAACCACAGAACTGCCAAGCCCACCTGTGGTATCCACTTTTTATATAACTCCTCTTTGGACTGTCTCCGGCCACTTGCAGATTCAAGAGGTGGCCAAAACAGTTCATTTCTAGGATAGAGGGCTGGTCTTCTCTCCACTTGCTGCTTGGGATGCAGGAAACATTTAAGGAAAACTAAGCTTTTTGAACCTTTTTAGAGAGGCAGGCATGTAAACCTGTAAGATTAAAAATGCCAGTGAATTCTGAGGTCTCCTGGGGATGGAGGGGGGAGGGGGAGTCTGACCCTTCCATAGCTAGGGGGGGGGGGAAAATTGGGTTCCAGCAAGCTCCCTTCCCAAGATGTATGTGAATGCCTTAGCCTACGGAGGGCCCCGTGTAGCATTCTGCAGTCCATATTGCAGATGGGGATGCTCAGAGGTCCCACTACAACCTTAAGGCCACCCCACTGTAGCCTGGTGGGATTACAGTATGCACCCAGGGCTGGCTGCCACCTTGCTGCCCCTGGGGCCCTGGCACCTCAGTAGATCTGCTTGTCTTGAAGGTCCCCATGCGGGTGACATAGGAGAGCTGCCTGAGGTCCTGGGGGTTGGGTGGAATGTGGGAGCGGCGAGGCACCAGGCCTAGGTCTCCTGGCTGGTAGGAGGTAATGCCAGACAGGTGCTGCATCAGAGACGTCATCTTGGGCGGCTGGTTGCTGGGACAGCTGTGGGAGAAGCGGGGTCATCACATCTACACATCTGTCTCCCGGAAGGGGGGCCAGGGTCATCTGGTTTTTGGTTTTTTTTGGTCAGTCATGGGGCCCGAACTCTGGGCCTGGGCACTGTTCCTCAGATCTTCAGCTCAAGGCTTGCGTTCTACCACTTCTGTGGTAAAAAGACACTTCTGGCTTTTTCTGCTCATGTGGTACTGAGGAATTGAACCCAGGGCCTCATGCATACAAGGCAAGTGCTCTACCACTGAGCCACCTTCCCAGCCCCTGAGTAGTTTGTTGGAGATAAGAATCTCAGATACTCTTCTGCCTGGGCTGGATTCAAACCACGATCCTCAGGTCTCAGCCTCCTGAGTAGCTAGAATTACAGGCATGAGCCTGTATCCAGCAATCTCCTAGTCTTTTTGGTTTTAGTTTTGTTTGGGGTTTTTTTTAACTGTATTTTTTTTGTCTTTTCTTTTTTGGTACTGGGGATCGAACCCAGGACGTTGCGCTTGCTAGGCAAGCGCTTTGCCACTGAGCTACATCCCAGCCCTGGTTTTAGTTTTGCAGATAAGGTCTCCCAGGGTCAGCTTTGGCCTTGATTTTCCTTACCTCTGCCTCCTGTCACTGAGACTACAAGTGTGTGCCACCGTGTCTGGCTTGGTTGTTTTGTGTGTTCTTCCTGGGTTTGAACTCAGGGCCTGGACACTGACTTTGAGCTTTTCTGCTCATGGCTTGCACTCTACCTCATTGAACCATAGCTCCACTTCTGTTTTTTAGATGATTAATTACACATAAGAGTCTCATAGACTTTCCTGCCCTGGTTGGCTTCAAACCTTGATTCTCAGATCTCAGTCCCTCAAGTAGCTAGAGGTGTGAGCCATTGTCACTTGGCTATGTGGCTTTTTTGTTTTTGGCCAGTCATGGGGCTTGAACTCTGGGCCTGGGTGCTGTTCCTCAGCTCTTCAGCTCAAGGCTAGCACTCTACCACTTGAGCCACAGCACCACTTCTGGTTTTCTGGTGGTTTATTGGAGATAAGAGTCTCATGGACTTTCCTACCCAGGCTGGCTTTGAACCATGATCCTCAGATCTCAGGTGGCTGTCTTGTGACTTGTTTTGAGCTAGATTCTCACTAACATTTGAGCTTTGAGCCCTGGTCATACCACCTTACCTCTACACCTCCCCAGTAGCTGAGATTACCATGCCTAGCTTCCATGGCTGCCTTTCCTGAGGCCACACAGGACCACCTGCTCACCTCTTCTTGTGGGAAAAACTGCTCTGGTTATTTCGGGCATAGCTGCTCCCGGGGCGGCTGCCCTGGGGGTGGCTGGCCCGGGATTGGATGCTCCGGGGTCGGCTGCTTTGCTTATACACAGACAGGTGGGGTCTCTGGAGCACCACACAGCTGAGCTGGGCTAATAGTTGCTGTAGCAGTTCTCTGCGCTGCATCTGGAGGATCACGCTGAAGTCACTGTCCTGTTCTTCTGCTTTCATCTGCCGGTAAGGATGGTATCAGGCCTACAGTGGCCCCAGAACCCACCTATCTCCACATGGGAACCTCCAACCCCACTGCCCGTTTTCTCAGCATCTGTACCCTGGCTGAAGTGGGATACCCATTCTCCAATTGGAAAGACTGCGGTGTGAAGCTTTCCAGAGCCTTGGAGAAGGAATTTGCCTTTTTGGAGATCTTTTTTTTTTTTTCTGGTCAGTCTTGGGCTTGAACTCAGGGCCTGGGCACTGTCCCTGAGCATTTTTTTTTTTTTTTTGGTCGGTTGTGGGGCTTGAACTCTGGGCTTGGGCGCTGTCCCTGCGCTCTTCAGCTCAAGGCAAGCGCTCTACCACTTGAGCTACAGCACCACTTCCAGCTCTCTGGTGATTTATTGGAGACAAGAGTCTCATGGACTTAGCTGCCTGGGCTGGCTTTGAACCGCAATCCTCAGATCTCAGCCTCCTGTGTAGCTAGGATTATAGGCGTGAGCCACCGGTGCCCGGCTTCCCTGAGCATTTCTGCTCAAGGCTAGTGCTCTATTATTTTGAGCTACAGTGCCACTTCTGGTTTTCTGATGGTTAATTGGAGCTAAGAGTCTCATGGCTTTTCCTGCCTGAGCTGGCTTTGGAACTGAGATCCTCAGATCTCAGCCTCCTGAGTAGTTAGGGTCACAGGCATGGGCCACCAGCTTCAGGCTTTCTTGGCGATCTTGAAGGGATCTTACAATCCTGACTCAGCAAAGGAGTCTGGGCAAAGAAGAGCCTCTAAACCAGGCCCTGCTCAGCCTCTGCCTCCAGGTGGTGCTGTTCTTTGACAAGCAACTTCTGTCCTCGGTACTTCTAGCCCCTGTGCCTCCTGTTTTCTGTTCACCTGCATAATGTCCTGTAAGAAGGAGGTTGCCTGGGACAGGACTAGCTCCAGATTGGCTCGGACCTTCTGCTCATCAGTCAACTCCTGCTTTAGCTCCTCAATCTCGTCTTGCTGCTGTTCCACCTTCTGGGTCAGCTCCTCTATCTGGTTCCTGGTCCATGACAGGATGAATCAACTAGTGTACCTCCTCCCCAGGCTGGGACTGCCCTCACCTGAGCCCTCCTGGCCTCTCAGCCTATCAGACAGATATGAAGCCTCGAAGCCCCTCCAGGAGGGAAAGTCATAGGCCAGACTATGTGGTCCAAAAGATATGGGCCAAAACTGGCACTCTCCCGCCTGGGACTCGGCTCCCCACAGGTGCACCTGAGCCCCTGGTTGTCTATCTGCAGCTGCAGGAAGCTCTGCTCCAGGTGGCCCAGCATGAGGCGCAGCTGCTCGGCCTCCATCACGCCCTGTTGCTGTTCTCGGCATTTCTCAGCTAGCATGAGGATGATCTGCAGAAGATAGGCAGGTGGCCACACTGCAGTCCTGCTGTGGGGCCCCAGACCCTCCCTGCCCACCAGTTCGCGACACAACATGACCATGCTTGCCTCAGAGGTCAGCACACCTCTGGACAGCATGGGCAGGGATGGGCTCCATGTCATAGTATGCAACAGGAAATCTAGTGCGAGGCCAGCACCTAGAGTTCCCACCACAAGGCCTCGTCCCCTCCCCATGGCACCCTCCCTCGTTACTTAGCTTCAGCCTGGGGTCCATTCTTAGGGCCAGCAGGGCCCCAGGGTTCCCTCCTTTGTGTGATGGCAGACACACACCTTCTGATGGCTTTTGCTGTTCCTGGCCATGACCTTCTGGGTGCTCTCCAGCACCCCCACCTCTTGGCACAGCTGGCCCTGGTGGTCCCGGAGCTGCTCATTCTCGTGCAGCAGCTGCACACCTTGTTGGGACACCTTGGCCAGCTTCATGGTCACAGTGCTGTTCTCCAGGATGGCCCGCTTTGTTGTCTCCCACATCTGGTTTGTGGCCATCTTCCGAAAATCAGCAGCCACCAGGTTCACGCGCTGAATAATCTCCTTCCTCAGCCTGGTCAGGACCGTGGGAGTGGAAGGGGTAGAAGAATTCAGGTAGATGGGCAGAAATCCAGATGGCCCCTTTTTCTGTCGGGGTCCCTGGAGCACCCATGGCCATTAAACACCTCTAGGCCTCCCCCATAGACTCTAGGCCTTTGAAACTCCAGCCATGGCAATGTATCATCACCTAGCAAATGAACAGAATTGACATCACAAGAAGTCCAAGAATTCTCTAAAGGCAGCCTGAGGCTTGGAGCTGACAGCTCACCTGGGTGGAAGAAGTAAACCCCAGCCAAGGTTCCACGGAGCAGGGGCTGGGAGCGGGCGAGGGGGTGTGTCAACAACTTAGTCCAACCCCCAACCCAAAGCTGAGGATGGAAAGGTGGCATGTGTGTGGCCCCAGCAGGGCGTCAGGTCTGCCCACCTGTCCTTGTCCAGCACTGACTGCTTCTCCAGGTTGTAAATGTAGTCCTTGTAATCTGCTTCCTGCTTTTGTAGCTGGTCCTCCAGTGACTCGAACTTGACCATGAGCTCCTCTTTCTGCAGCCGGAATTCCTCTAGGGCTGCCAGCTTCCCCACTGCCCACCAGAGGGCACAGGCCTGATGAGAGGGCTGCCAGCTTCCCCACTGCCCACCAGGGGGCACAGGCCTGATGAGAAGACTGCCTTACGGGCCTTGAGGGATGCCCCCAAGTGTCCCGTGGCATACAGGTCCTGCGCACCATTCTCATCTTCCTCTTGAGATGCCCTGCGGCCTCCCTGCCACTAATATTTTTTTTGGGGGGGGGGGCGGTTGTGGGCCTGAACTCTGGGCCTGGGCGCTGTCCCTCAGCTCTTCAGCTCAAGGCTAGCGCTCTACCACTTGAGCCACAGTGCCACTTCTGGCTTTTTTTCCCTGCTTATGTGGTGCTGAGGAATCGAACCCAGGGCCTCATGCATGCAAGGCAAGCGCTCTACCACCGAGCCACCTTCCCAGCCCCCTGCCACTAATCTTACAGAGCCTCATTCAGATTCCCACCTCCTCCAAGAAGCCTCCCTTGATTCTGTTCTCTACTCACACATTAACAGTGACAATGGCAGCTGAACTTGGAACCTCAGGGCCAGCCAGTCAAGCTGCCCTTTCACACCCTCCCCCCCGGAGCTATTATGTGTGTGCGCACACATGTGTGCGTGCATGTATCTGTATGCCCACACCAGTATCAGGGCTTGAACTCAGCTTGCACTTTGACTTACACTTTTGCTCAGCTTTCTTTCTTGTAGTTGGTGTTCTACTACTTTAGCCATCTGTCCAGGCTGGCATTTTTGGTGGTTGAGTTGGAATCCCCTGAACATTTTTTTTTCCTTGGCTGGCTTCAAACTGTGATCCTCTAGGTCTCAGCCTCCTTAGTTGCTAGAATTGTACATAGCTAGGACTATTCTTGTATCTGTTTGAGCCACAGCTCCACCTTTGGCTTTTTGGTGGTTTTTAGAAGAGTCTTATGGACTCCTGACTGGGCTGGCTTTGAACCGCTATCTTTAGATCTGAACTTTCTGAATACCTAGGATTATAGGTATAAGCCATCAGCTCCCAGCAAGACTATTCCTTTTTAAATACTTCCTTGTAAAAAAAAAAAGAAATACTTCCTTGTACAAACTGGGAGAGGAGTTGGGGGACAATTAAAATGATGTATTCAAAGAGGCACGCACTTGGTCTTACTCTAAGCTGTGTTAGCCCCATTCCCCAGGTGAGAAAACTGAGAGACATACACATAATGGTGGGCTGGGGCTTGAGCCTGCATCCCTCACTGGCATGCACCCACAGGTCTGCCTGCCGAGTCCCCTCCTTACCTAGGACGATGTTCTCCGTGGTGAGTTGGTCCTTGGTCTCCTGGAACTCATGGCGCACCTGTGCTAGCTGGGCCTCAAATGCATCTTTCTCCATCTCCTTGGCCAGCTGCAGGGTCTGCAGCTGCTCATTGAGGTCGGTGATCTCATCCACCCTCTGGTTGAGCGTGCGCTTGAGGAAGGCCACAATCTCTTTCTTGTTGTTAGCCAGTTGCTCAAACTCCTGGCGGAACAGTTTCTCCTGCACAGCCAGCTCATCCCACTTCCGCTGGTACCTGGGGTGGGGCCCAGGCGGAGGTCCAGGGTCCAGCTGGGCATCTGCAGCCGGACTTGCTCTCCCGACTCCTCCTCCCTCCGGCTCTGAATCTAGCCTCATTTTCAACTGTGTCTGCCCCGATTGGTGGTCTTGACCTCAGCCAATCCCTATGCTCAGCCTTTTGCGCTTATTCCATCACCAGGACATAAGCCCCGTGGGGACTCAGCCTTTACTAAGTTCACATGGCAGGCCCCATGCACCTCGTACATGGCGTGCATCTGTGAAGGAATGCTCACAGCCACCTGGGAGGGCATACGCAGAGGCTATGCTAATCATCCCCATTTCCTAGACAAATGGAAGCCACGAAGAAGTTTGTAAGTGGTGAAACTAGAGCTTGAACTGGTCTGTTGGGAAAGATGAGACAGCCATAACAGATGTGGGGGTCGCCAGCCAGCTCTGCGTCCCGTAATACTTCCAACCCCATCTTCACACCGCTGCCTTCCCTACCCTGCTCATCAATGAGCCTTAGTATTGCCTCCTTGAGACCCCTCCTGGCCCTGAGCCACATTTGTGGCCTTCTCTTTGGCTCCGTCCTATGGGTGGGCTCTTGTCCTTTGGGACCTGGTGACAGGATCTCTGCTTGGTGGATCCCTGGCCTCCTTCACTTCTTCACTTCTCAGGGCGTGACCGGGGGGGGGGGAGGCAGGCAAATAATAAACATACATCCAGTACCAGTCTGAACATTCCCCCCCCATGCATTCCATGTGGGGTTTCAGAGCACCATGTAACTAGCCTGGTACCAGTGGCTCTTGGTTGAGCCATCGCAGGTCTCAGCCATGGTGAGCTCTGAGGATCATGATTCAAAACCAGCCCAAGACTCTTACTTCTTAACCACCCAAAGAGCAAGGAAGTTCTGGAACTCCGGGAGCTAAGAGAAGATGGGAAACGCGCTTCTGCTAGGTGGGGTGGGGCGTGCCTGGACATCCCACTGCCTCCCACAACACAGGTCCAGAGCTCCCTGTTCAAGCCTACAAGGGCCGCTGGCCCAGAAGCACCTCCCTGTGCATCGTCCCTGCTGCCACTCACTTGGCCAGCCTTTCCTCCAGATCCTGAATCTGGGCATGGTAGAACTCTCGAAGCTCCTCTATCGACAATGTCTCCTCAGCCTTCAGGCCGGGGACGATATCCTTCTTGTTCCCTTTCTTCTTCTTGGTCTCAAGTTCCTTGCCTGTCTTGCTTGGCTTTTTGGGAGCCATGCTAGATGGCAACCACTAAACCAATGTCCTTTTAAAAGGCTAAGTGGTTGCTAAGGAAGTGGGTCCTGTACATAGCAACAGCCTCAGGGAATGAGGTAAGGCTTAAAGGGCCCCTGTCTCACTGGCTTCCCCTTTTAAGGCAGAAACCACCACCTGAAGCCCTGGGTGTCCCAGGCCGGGGCATCTCAGACTAGCATGCCTGGCTTTTGGGCCTAGTTCTGGGTTCCAGAGAGTTGTTTCCTTCCTCTAAATAGAAAGATATAAAAAATTAGAGGGCTGGGAATGTGGCTTAGTGATAGAGTGCTTGCCTAGTGTGCATGAAGTCCTGGGTTGGATTCCTCAGCACAACATAAACAGATAAAGCTGGAAGTGCCACTGTGGTTCAGGTGGTAGAGTGCTAGCCTTGGGCAAAAGCAGCTCAGGGACGGTGCCCAGGTCCTGAGTTCAAGCCCCAGGACTGGCAAAAAAAATTAATTAGAATGGTCAGGGGCTGAGTGCATGACTCAGATGGTAGTGTGCCTGTGTAGTAATCTCTAAACCCCAGTACCAGAAGAAAAGCAAACAGAATGGTCAGGGTCCCAGAAATCACCTGTTCCTTTGGGCCAATCAGAAAACAGAGGCCCAAAGAAGGCTCGGACCTCCTCTGGGAGTGTCTGCTTTGAGGCCATCTTGTTACTTTTTCCATGTCATTCTCTTGTTTTCACCCGGCGCAGGGCAGGAGGCAGTCTGGTAAGAAAGGACATTTCTGGGGCTGGGCAGGTGGCTCAGTGGTAGAGTGCTTGCTTTGCATGCATGAGGCCCTGGGTTTGATCTCTCAGCACTACATAAGCAGAAAAAGCCGGAAGTGGTGGTGTAGCTCAAGTGGTAGAGTGCTTGCCTTGAGCTGAGGGACAGTGCCCAGGCCCAGAGCTCAGGTCCAGAACTGGGGTTCTGGGATGCCCTTTTGCAGAGGCCAGCATGATTTTCCACACCCTTGATGGAAGCTCTCCATTCGCCCGGTGCAGCAGCCTTGTGAGGAAGAGGCAGCCCTTATGGCTGGGCAGGCAGCATATGAGGTGGGAGATAAAGCAGGTGTTTAGCTGGCAGATGCCCTGGCTGGCAGCCATGTGCCCCAAACAGGCTCTGCGACCTTGGGGCCCCTCTAAGGGACAAGATAGCATGAGATCAGGGGTACAGATGCATGGCCAATACACTCCCACACCAGGAGTTAGCTCACGAGTCATCTGGACCCTTGTTCCCACCTCAGGAGTCTGTGGGCTGCTGCTGCGTGAATTTGATGGGCAGTCCTCAGATGCACACATTTATTGGAGGGAACACAGGCAAAGTAAGAAGTTTTACTTTATCTCCTACAAATCCTCCACGTATGTATTCCAGGTAAGGGCATTAGCTTAAAGGCAGGACAATCTCCTTGAATTGTATAATGCATTTGTGTTTTGGACAGTATGTGACTATATCCCCTGTAATTAACCCTTGAAGGGCTAATTCTTTCTACCTTTTCCATGCTAAGACAACCAGATAGACAACAGCTTCAGGGGAGAGGTCATCCTTTGCGTGCCTGTGAATCCATGGCTCCCACTTCTGCTTAACTTTTTCACTCAAGGCTGGTATGCTACCACTTGAGTTAACACCTCCACTTCCGACCTTTTGCTGATTAACTGGGAGTTGATTCTGTACATAGCAACAGCCTGAGGGATTTGTTTGCACAGGCTGGCTTTGAACCACAATTCTCATACCTTAGCCTCCTGAGGAGCTAGAAATACTGCATGAGCCACTGGTGCCCAGCTCTTTCAACACAATTTGTCCCTTCCCTTCCTGCCTGACACTCAAGATTCTGATTTTAGAGGTCAGGCTCCTCAAGGAAATGACTGAAAAGTGAATGTTTTTTGGTGTATATAAAGAGGCCATATACTAAGAACTGAGATCCCTTTACCACCGATTCTTAATATGCAGTGCAACTGGACTCTCATGTGGATAGAAACATTCAGAAGACCCCAGAATAAAACACTGGGGAAATGCAATGATTAGGGTGAGATAATCCTCTACAAATTCACTGCATGTCTATCAAGCCTACTTGTTAAGATGTCTTTAAGAGTAATGGGTTAAAACCAGGGTCTGGTTTTAACATGTTAAGGAAGATCTGTTCCTTCTGAGACAATGCCTTTAGTGACCTCCTTATTTCCCACTGCCACCCCCCCACCCCATCCCCCAGTCTAATGCAGCCAACTCGCAGCATCACCACACTGAAAACCAGTCTTCAACACACGAGCCCTTGGGACACACCCAAACATAGCCAAACTACACAGGAGAGCAGCATTTCATGAGAACGATTTTTTTTTTTTTTGGTCCAGTCATGGGGCCTGAACTCTGGGCCTGGGCGCTGTCCCTCAACTCTTCAGCTCAAGGCTAGTGCTCTACCACTTGAGCCACAGCACTACTTCCAGCTTTTGTTTTTTCTGCTTATGTGGTGCTGAGGAATCGAACCCAGGGCCTCATGCATGCAAGGCAAGCGCTCTACCACTGAGCCACCTTCCCAGCCCCCCATGAGAATGACTTGAGATGAGTGAGAGGGAGAGGAGAGGGAGAGAGGAAGAGAGAGGGAGACAGGAGAAGGAGGGAGAGGGAGAGAGAGGGAGGAAGGGAGGGAGCTCATCCAGAATCCACTGCTCTGAATGTCCAGCATTGTAGCAGGCTTCTCAGAACCTTGATGATGACCTCAGGGTCACCTCCTTCCTGCAACTTGGGGACTGCAGAGCCCCCAAGTTGTGGGGTTTCAAGACCACACCTGTGAGAGCTGTGAACAGAGGAGGGGGCCAGTATCCCTGAGGAAGGGGTCATTTAACTGTGTGCCCCAAATATGGACCCCACATGCTCAAGTAGGGGGCATCTGTAGACAGAATCCCACAGTATCTGAGGAGACAGGCAATCTAGAGAGGGAGGAACAGGGAGAGGAAGGCGGACCTTCTCTCTGGGGGACATCCTGTCTCTAGTGGCCCAAGACAAGCTTCATGGATTGGCCCAAATGCGAGGCAGCCAGGGAGATAATGTAAGCGATGGTGGCTGGGCTCTGGAAGATGGAGCCACCGCCCAGGCTGCCACCCTCCTTTGGGTTCTGGGAGTAAAACCAGCCCGCACTTCACCTGACACCATGCATGGGCGCTGATTTCTTTATTTATTAGACTCGAGTGCTTTAGTACAGAACGGTACAGAGATGATACATGTTTGTGCTTCGATACTTTCAAACACTGAGATTTCTGATAATTTCAAGGTAAACAAGTTTCAAGACAGACTAGCTTTTTTTTTAAATAACCTTTTGATAAATTATTTTTATATAAATAACAGAAAGGAAAATCCACATTTGACAAAACAAGGTCCTGAAGCATAAGCATTGCTTGGTTGGAGGGAGGGACAAAATAAGCAGACAGGGAGAAACAAACCAATGCAGGTTCCTACAGTTCTGTCCTAAGGAAATGAGACTTTGTAAGGGGGGCTGAGTGACAGGAAGAGGACTGAAAACTAATGGGAGTGCAGAGGGAGATTTCGGAGCCAGAAGAGAACGCCACAGAGCAGCTAACGGGGCAGGCAGAACGTATTTTCAAAAGGAAGGCGAACACCACAGGCACGAGACGCAGTAATATACACAGTCTGCGGGAGGGAGAGGGTGGCGGGGGCTGGGCAAGGGGACATTTTTGTGACTTCCACTGTCATTATTTTTTCACAAGAACAGCAGCAGAACAAGCGGTGTGCTTGCTCCTGGGACCAGGAAACTGCTGAGTCCTGAGGATAAGATATCCTTCTAGCATTTGCTTCTTAACTTTTGCTTTACAGCTACATTTTATACAGCTACATTTTTACACAGAGAATAAAATGATCATTTTTTCTTACAACCACAAAGACATTACCACACACTACACAAAATAAAGAACTATGAAGTATCTTAGACTGAGGATTGTCTGACAGACCACGACCACGCTTGCTGAGTGGAGTCAGCGTTGGCATCACCCGGGGGGAAGGGCAGAGCGCCTGCACCCTTTCCATGGAAAAAGCTCTCTGACCAGAAGCCACCAGGGCCTGTCTGTTCCAGTCCATTCCTACCCCATGAACGCTACCCAGGCTGACCCTTCTAAGGAAGAGGAGCTGTTTAGGGGGATGTGGGGGGGGAGAGGAGGGTAGTCAACAGGTCAGGAGACCTCATGTTTTGCAGAGGCAAGCAGGTTCCAGTGGGAGCCCGCTTTCTGTTTGTCTGGCTTTCTGTTTGTCTGGGCGGTGACAGGTGGGGGTGGGGGGGCGGGAGGCTCCCCCAGGGTCACAGCACAGTGGCCATGGGAAACAGTGCCAGGCAATGAGCAGGATGCACCAGCTGGCACCCAGCCTGGCTTCATGTGGACATCCTTAGCCTCATCCACTGCTGCACATCACCAGGGCACAAGCTCCTGGGGGAAGAAAAGAGGCCAGTTCCAGCTCCAGCCCCACGAGGTGTCTGTGCCCTGATTGTCACTTCCTGGCTTATCTGGACGAGAAGAGGCAGCAAGGGCAGCAAGTGGAGTGCAGATGCCAGGTTAATAATCCTCAGTGTGAAATACTTTTAAGAACACAGACACCGCTGATTCCCACGGAGGATAGGAATGACCCAAAACAAAAATGTGAAAATACCCAAACTCTACCTTTCCATACTCAAGCAGTTTGCAGGGCTTGCAGAGGGTTATGTACAAGGTCACGGAACCATAAATAAGGGCGAGGAGTCCATTCGGTCTAGAGTTCAAAAATGGCGGCGCAGCGCTTGCAGGTGAACTGCTCCTTGTAGTTACATATATAAGATACTCTTTTTAAAAAACACAATGCATTATTCTCTTTTGCTTCAAACAAGAAGAGGGCGTTATTAATCACGAGACCGCAGCGCGGGGAGGGTGGCCAGGGCGTGCAGGGCTGGGGAGGCAGCAGAGAAACCGAGGCATGGCGCTGGGGAGCCACGGAGCACTCTGGGAAGGGGGCTGGGTTTTGGAGGGGCAGCTTAGGTTTTTAACTGCTTATTTCTTCATCTGTTTTATTCAGTTTCTTCAGCGTGTCCAGCAGTTTCTGTGGGGTGAGGATGTGCGTGGATCCTGGGGAGGTAGAGAAGACAGTGAGCTGGCCTGCTCTGGCTGCCAGCTCATTCCCTGGTTCTTCTCCCTTCCCTGCCGCTGCTCCCGCCCCTCCCTGGCCTGGGTCCACTGATGCTGTGTGGGGGAGGGGAGAAGGGCTTGGGGCCCTGTCACATGAGAGACATTTAGGGACTGTGGCTACATGAAACACATTCTGGGGCTCAGGCAGGGTCCCAGAATGCCTGTGTGGGAGCCCAGCACCACCCCAGGAGACAGAGGAGATGCATTTCTTATTCTCTTGCACTCCAGGTGAAACCAGGGAGAGAAATTCCAAACATGGCAAAGGGAAGTGGTTGCATGGGGCAGGATTGGTAGTGAGATTGTACATGGAAATCCCGGGGGTGGGGGAATCACAAATGTCTGGGGAGCCTGCCAAGGGGTGCTGGAATGGAGGTGGGACCTCAGGTGTTAAGAGGGAAAGGGCGGGGACCTGAGGCCTTACCTTGCAGAGACCGCGCTTTGTAAGAGATTAGAAATGCTTGCAAAAGTTTAAGCTAATGGAATTAGATATATTTCTAGTGCAAAAGTAAAAAATAAAAAAAAATTAAAAAATGAAGGACTTTTTCATAAGGAGAGAAAGAGAAAGATCTAAGAAGTGCAGTAAAAAATGATGCATGGATTGTGTGGTCTGGACATGGACTTAATCGAACAGAACAGGAGTGACGGGTGGCGTGAGCATGAGGCCTGCACGCATGCAGCAGTGCACTCCAAAGAAAGATCCTGGTGGGAAAGAACTAAACAAAAGAGTTCCGTACTTGAAAATGTGCCTTCCTGGAGACCTGGGGAGGAATGGGCCTTCATAGGAGTGGGCAGTGGGAACACCAGATGTTTAGATTTTCAGTCCAAGGACAGGCAAAAGGAAGCTTTGGCTGGCTTGTTGGCCATCATTCCAATACCAGGGTCTCTGTGCCTCTGACCACTACCTGCTTCGCTGACCTGGGACCCCTGGAGCTCGGGTGCTTCCCTGAAAGTCTAGACCAGCAGAAAACTTGTAGCATTTTCTCAGGCGGGAGAGGCATATTCCTGCAGCCTTATCTCTCTAGTAAAATTCAGTGCAGACTCAATTTAGCAACTTTTTATTGATCACATGCTAATCCCGAAGTGTCCTCACCTTCTCACGTGTAAATTCAAGATTTGAGGAAGGCCAGAAAGGTGTTAGGAAACCCAAGCTCTAGAATTTTCTTATCTGACCACTGACCCATTTGGTCAGTTTATCTAGTCAACTGTTCTGTCCATTTTGACAGAATAATTCTAGGATAGGACCTTGGAAACAACCAGTGAAGCCTCTATAAATCTAAGTAACAGGAATATTACTTGGTCCTATAAAAGGGAACAGATTGGCTGCTATTAATCCAAGTCATCTGAAAGCTATTTCTTGGTTGCTGGTGTTCAGACTCTATGCCTTACTGCTTCTTAGTTAAACTATAGAATCCAAACTACTCAGCAAATTACTCTAGAAGCCAGGCATGTACAATCACTGTTGACTCATTTTCTCGCTGTTCCAATGGCAGCTGAGACCTTCTCAGCTGACTGACCATGAAACAGAGGAGAACACGCTGCAAAGAAGTAGCTTGTTTAGAAGCAGGGAACCCCAGAACCAGTGCTCACAGGAACCCGGGGCTGTGGGGCTCTGTTTCTTTCAGACACTGTAGATGGTCTGTTGTCTGTCACTGAAGTATTGACCTAATATTAAAGACATTTTAAAATACATCCTGTAGCAAATGCTGTCTACCTGCCTACCAGTGGCACACAGAAACATGTCTCTGGTTAACACACTATCAAGGTGCTTCTAGAAAATTTGGGCATTTTTTTTTCCCTTAGAAAATTAGAGCTTGAAAAAAGAAAAGAAAAGAAAATTAGGGCTTCATCCTACCACTTATGAAGTGCGGTTCCCACCGCCTGGGAAGGCAGGAAAGGGAGAGGAAGGAACAAGGACAATATAGAATCAAACAGAAAAGATGCTACCAGGTAGCAAGCTTGGTAGAAGAGAGAAGACAGAACTCTTTACACTATACAAATATCCAGAACAATGTCTCCTAAAGGGCTCTAGACCATATATCGAGAGGCTTCAGCGGGAGGAGAGGTGACTAGCCACAGGGGGATAAACTAAAAGCAGCTCGGAAAGAAGTGACCTGTGCGTGCTGTTTTCTGCAGAGGAGCATGTGAGGAAAGCTCTTCCCACTGAAGAAGTGCGGTCATCAAGGGCTTGAGACCAATCACCCCTTGAATTGGTTCACTAAAGGGCCTGTCCTAGGAAAAGGTACTCATTGGTGGGTCTTCCACTGACCTAGAGTCTACTGGGAGCTGTCTCACCATCAGGTACCTGTTGCCATTCCCCTCCCCGCTTCTTCCCGTCTTCTCTGAGTGTTCTCTTCTCTGGCCTCAAACTTCCAAACCACATTACTGCCAGGAGGCTACTTTCCTGTGGTGCCCACAAGTTAACCCCTGGGACAGCAGGCTGGGAAACCATGCCTCAGGTACCCCTTAGTTCCAGCTCCCTCTTTAAGGGTTGCCTACATAGCTACATTACTTTGGTTTAAACCAAGAGGCCCGCAGCTGTCTGCTGAGCGGTGTCACCCAAGGCATGAGGGACCCGGCAGGTCGGAGCCCAGGGTGTGACGGCAGCACTGGACACATTTTCAATCGGTGTTAAGAACTGCAAGCATTTTCTTGTTAAAAGAAAATTAAAGAAATAATAAACTAAAAAGGGAAAAGTAAAGAAAGAGTGACGGAATAATCAAAGAAAACCCTTCAGAGTGGAAGAGTTTCTTTTCTGTAATAAGCTGCTTTTACTTTGTTTCTTTGGCTCTCACTCCATTGTTGGAGCCTGATCCTCAAAAGATACCCTAGAGGACTCCCTGAAGTCGGGGTGTCTCAGGTCCATGAGAAATTTGGTGGGAGTAAGAATATGAGTAGAACCTGTGGGAGAACAGAGGCCAGCTGACTGCTTGAACAAAGGTACGTTACAGGAGCATGCCAACTTAGGCCTACAGTTTACGCAGCCAATGAGGCATGAAAAAAGCAAGACACGCACACGCGCACATGCGCACACGCACACACAGGCAGCAAGGGGCTGGCATGCATAAAGCAGGTGAGGCCACGCAGCGGACAGCAACTGTCTAAGTGGTCAGACCCCTCTCCATGAACCCACACAGGTGACTTTCTATCCCTAGATTCCCACCTCCCCCTAAGGAACTTTGGGCAGGTCGAAAGCAGAAGAGGAAGGTTCACACCCAAAGCCTGGCTAAGATGACTTCTGTGTGGGAAAGTGGTGTGTGAGCTCAGATTTATCAATACATTCATGCAACATATATGCAAGCAGGGAACAGAGCTCTACTATGGGGCCTCTACCACAGAAAAGGAAAAACAATTACTGGGAGAACTGGTGACCAGACCAGGGAAGCCTGCAGAGTGGGGGAGGGGCACAATCTTCCTTCTGGCCCACAGCCTCAGGACCATCTAGGTGGACTGGCCTAAGGAGCCTACTCACTTGCAGGCAGTGTGACTTGGTCACCCCAAACTGGATGACTTGTTATCATGATAATGACTGCGCCTGGGATTATGACTGATGTAGGGGGTCAGGATGCCTTCCCAGATGGGGCAGCTCAGGCCTCGCCTCTCTGTAGCAGTTCACATGTAAATGGCCCATGCGGCCACCTGTAAGCCCTAGTGTAAATCCCCCTCAGGTACACACTCCTTCCAAAGGGGGATCAAATAGGGTCTCCAAGCTTGCTCAGCTTGAATGTGTCCTATTAAGGACGACTGGCCAGGGCAGTAGATATGACAGTCTCCTGCAACTAAATGTCAAGAGGGACCCCTGGGCAGGAGCCACTTCACTTTGTTCAGGACTTGCAGGATAAAAGGAGAGCATCTGGAAAGAGCAAGATGTCTCAGCTCGCTCTTCCTCCGCCAGCCCTAGAAGCTATAGATGCTCCTGGAGGCGAGAAGTACAAGTGTCTCCTGCTGTGTTACGACAGCTCCAAGAGTTACTTCCTCTCTTTTGGAAACTGACAGGAAGCATCAAAAAGGACAGGGAGACTAGAAGCAGCAGGAGCCAGTTAAGGGACTTAATGGGGACTAGCAGTCAGGCCAGGAGGCTCCAGACAGTATCTGCTCACTTGCTGTCAATACAACTTCAACTGAGGGGTGGAGGAAGGAGGGTAATGGTTTCCCTCCCACCCACAGTCCAGTGCTAGGAACCTGACACTCATCAGGTCTGGGTGAAGGCTGTAAGTGGGCGTCCTACACTGTTCTGGTAGGAAGGAAATGGAAGCCTGAGTACTCCAGCCACTTTCTAGCAGTGGCAGTACTGAGCTGAGCCTGAGTCTGTTGGATCGGATGACCAGGTACTCAATGCCTCACGATGCTGAAAGATACAGTAGGGCAGACATGAGGAAGAAACCCTTGACCCCTTAAGTTTCTGCCACACAAATAGTTACCTAAGACTATGTTTTGCTGGGGTGATGGGGAGCTAGGACAGAACGCGAAACCAAAGCATGGGATGGATTAACAGTGCGAAGAGGCAGCCTGTGTCTCTAGCCTGCATGCCCTACTTACCTATCAGCACTTCCCACTTGCCATTGGCCTGAGTCACCTCGTAAGCACAGCGCATCTCATTCAGGCTCACGCCCCCAAGGATGAAAATAATGAGGCGGGGGCCACTGCGGTACTCTCCTGGGGCCTTATTCTTATGCCAGTGCCCATAGCGGGCGCTGAGTGGAAACAAGAAGAGAGAGAGAGATTAGTTGTGTTTACAGTTAAAAAATTAAGCCAGGTGCTGGTGGCTCACGCCTGTAATCCTAGCTACTCAGGAGGCTGAGATCTGAGGATCGCGGTTCAAAGCCAGCCCAGGCAGGAGAGACCGTGAGACACTAATCTCCAATAAACCACCAGAAAACCGGAAGTGGCGCTGTAGCTCAAGTGGTAGAGCGCTTGCCTTGAGCTGAAGAACTGAGGGACAGCACCCAGGCCGAGTTCAAGCCCCACGACCGACAAAAAAAAATTATTCAGTGCCTCATCCCTCCATGTCTCGTTACACATTTGTTCTGTACAGTTGTGCCCCAAATAGAGTGGGTGCTTGGTAAGGGTTGGCTGAATTGTGATGAAATTTCAACGCTGTTTGGCTTCACCAGAAGAGTGACTCTGAGGGGGCTGGGAAGGTGGCTCAGTGGTAGAGTGCTTGCCTTGCATGCATGAGGCCCTGGGTTCGATTCCTAAGCACCACGTATGGGACAGTGCCCAGGCCCAGAGTTCAGGCCCCACAACCGACCAAAAAAAAAACTCTGAGCAACTGTGCTGGAACCTTTTTCACTCTCTCACAAACATGTAGATAGACTCAGTCAGTTCTAGTGTTCTATGTGTGAGGATCAGCATGGTGCTGATTAGCCAGGTCGCCCATGTCCCTAAGCTTGTATGGGACCTAGCAGCACGGAATCATAAGATGTCTCAGGCCAGCACGCTGAGCCCTGAGCAGTTACCATGCAGGTATGCAGGTTTCCTGGGCAGGCCAGGTCCCCCATCCCCATCTCCCCAGGGAGAGATGGCCTTGAGAAATGGGTCTGAGCTGCTCTGATGCAGAAGAGCTGTGTACCATGGGGACAAGTACAGGGCATGGAGTCCTGTCCAGGTGTCACTGGGCAGGTACTTCCTGAAGGTGTGGAGAGTCACGTCTCCCCCTAGAGGAACTTGGCTTCCTTAGGAGGAATTTGATTCAGATATAGGGGGCAACAAGTTGTTTCCAGGTTAAAAAAAAAATGGGTGGGTGGGAAATGAATGGAAGGAAGAAGCCTCTTCTGGACACTGAGGTGCTCTGTCCTTCCTCCTGACTTATGACAGCATTAGTCATGTTCCAATCCAGAAGGCATGCAACAGGCACTGTCAGGGCCACTGGAGCCTCCACAGTCTGTTCCCTGTGCAGCCACTGGGTGTCCCTCCATCCTCGGCCAGTCTGGCTGTGCAGTGAACATTATAGCTTTCACTGCCTCTGCTATTAGAGGGGTGCCAATGCCATACGTGCTACCCTTTGCTTCTGGCCTAGGTCCAGGAAAAGATTAAAAACAAAGACAAAGCCACAGCCACCAGTGCCAGTAGCTGTCCTCTCTAGAGCCACCAAATCTGCTCTCCCCAGCTCGCATACTCTGCTTGATTATTCTCAGGAGCCACTGTCTGGATCCGCCACATTTTGTTTATAAATTTGTCAGTTGGTAGACATCTGGGCAGTTTCCACACTTGGGTTACTATGAATAGAGCTGCTATGACTCGAGTGTACTGCAATTTCTAAGCAGGGTGATCAGGGAAGATTAGGAAGGTGATACTTGATTAAAGAACTAACAGAAGATAGACATGCAAGTATATTTGACTGTAGATGATGTCAGGCAAAGGGAGAAGTAATGGCAAAGGTCCTCATAGTAGCCTTGTCTTGTTCAAGGTCGACCAAGGAGGCTGAGGGGGAGTGAGGGAACGGAGGACAGAGGAGTCAGTGAGGAGTGGGAAGCCAGGGAGAGCTCCTGGCTCACAATCTCTTATATCAGGACCACCATGAGCTGACATCCAACCAGACACCCACCCTCTGTCCTCCCCATGTCGACCCACCTGACAGCAGTGGTACTGAAGGAGGCAGAGGAGCGGGTGGAGATATATGGATAGTGCTTGGTATCCAGTTTGTCCTCAATAGTGTCCTAGAGAGAAGAAAGACTGATCAGGTTACCATTGTTATTAAACGGTGATGGGAACAAAAGCAAGAAAAAAAGCAAGTCAGGTATCAAAACCTCAGCCAGGTCTACAACGATGCCTATGCCTGCTGCCACTACCGCGAGGCCTACTCCAGGCCCAGCACTGGCTACGTGCTCTGCAACTGCCTCAGCCGATAGGTCTACTCTCTGCGTAAACAATAAAAAGCATTTGTTTTCTTTGCTTTTCTTCAAATTTATTCTTTTTAATAATCTGCTTGAGGTTGAGCATCTGCATTCTGTTCACTAAATTCCTGATATTTGCTGTCAGCCTGGTGCAAATGGCCCAGAGGCAAGGCCTTTCCAGTTTGTCAAGGGGCTAATTATCTGGTGGGTGGGTTCCAGCCATGTAATTCCTGCTGCCTGGAGACCCACCCTCTGTCTAACAGTCCTTTCTTTAGGGGCTAGAAAGGAGAGGGAGGAAAAGGGGGCAGGGAACAAGTAGGTGATGCACAAAGGGTGGCTTTATCTGCACCACCAAGCAAAGGCATATAATTGGTGTCTGAATGGTTCATGTCCACCCATCCTTTTGGTTCTGTGGATTTTAAAAATAGAAAGCTGACTCATTGTATGTAGTTAACACACACTTACTTTAATGCACAGTTCAGTTAGGAACACCTGGGCTGCTAAGAGCTAACTCAAGGAGCCTAGGCAAGTCCCTTCAGGTTCTGGACCCCAGTTTTGGGCCCCCATCAAGTGCAGAAGATGAGAAGGCTGTCTTTGAGTCCTGCTCCAAAGATTCAGTGGTGTAGGACCTAGGTATGGTTGCTACAGGGAGGGAAGGCAGTGATACCACAGGGCTGTAATGACACCCATTCCCTCACTTCCCTTCTAGACAGACATGGAGTATCTGCTGTGCATGAGCTGTGTCAAGGACATGGCAAAGGTGACAAGCTCAATGTGAAAGATGACTTATAAGTCCCAGTAGATTCAAGAGACCTCTGTGGCACTGGGCACTCAGACGGGGGCGAGGGAGGCAGGCAAAGGATGGATGGCCCGGTAAAGACTTTGAAGGAAATTAGGATTCAAAATTTAGAAAGGAAAGGAGAGTATGTTCCAGGAAAAGGATCAGTTTGAACCACATAATTGCACAGGTCTTGCTGCTGGTATAACGAAGGTTGAGGGGAGGGAAGGAGAGTGAGACGAGGAAGGGCAAGGCAGGCTGCAGCCATCTTCTGAGCCCCACCTGCTGAGGTGTGGTGTGTAGCTTGCGCCTATCTCCCCCAGGGATATGCTTATGTTCCTCATCTGACCTTTGAGATGCTTCAGGTCTGGCTCCTTTGGTTACCTGGCTGAAGGGCCTCTAGAGCACAATATTACATCTTGACACTGGAACGGACAAATGGCTCTGGGGGACCTACAGCTGACAGTGTGGTGGTTCTTCAAGAATTCTCAGAACAGGTATGGGGTGTTTATGGTCACCGGATGTTACTAAAACCACAGGGCGTCATTGCTAGAGGTACTAGGGCATCTAGTGAAGAGCAGTGGGCCCTGACTCTCCCTCCCCATTCCTCTGTCACTGACCTCCATGATGTCCTTAATAATTGGGGTCCATCGTGAGAGCTGGTAGGTCTGCTCACTGATGCGCTCCTTCCGTTCTGGCTTGCTCCTGCGGCGCAGAGTGGACTAAATGAAAGCACACACAAGGTCAGACTACTGACTCAGGGGCCACCTAGGCTTCCATGACGTCTGTTGGCCTCTGGAAACTAAGTGAAGACTCCTTCGTCTGCATTAGTAAACAATAGTAAGAAGTGGGGAGAGTTTCCCTGTAATAGTCCAATAGTGTCCCTATTATTTAAGACACCTGGAGCAAATGTCAGTTTTTTTTTTCTGATTAAAAGTTGGAAAATCTGTTCCATTTTACAGATTTATTTTTACATCTGAAGACTCCTAACAAGATTTTTACATCTGAAGACTTCAAACAATATTTCCATTATTGAATATTCTTTTTTTTTTATCATGTGGTTTAAAACTTAGGGTCTGAGCACTGTCCCTGAGCTTTTTCGCTCCAGGCTAGTGCTCTACAACTTTGAGCTACAGCACCACTTCTAATTTCCTGGTGGTTAATTGGAGATAACAGTCTCATAGGCTTTCCTGCCTGGGATGGTGTTCAAGTGTGATCCTCAAATCTTAGCCTCTTGAGTAGCTAGGATTATATGTGTGAGACACTGATACTCTGCTATTACTGAAGTTTCTTTTCCCTCCCTCCCTCCCTCCCTCCTTCTCTTCCTTCCTTCCTGTCGTGGTGTCTGAGCTCTGGTCCTGGGTATTGTCCCTCAGCTCTTCAGCTCAAGGCTAGTGCTCTACCACTTGAGTCACAGTGCCACTTCCAGATTTTTCTGCTTATGTGGTGCTGAGGAATCGAACCCAGGGCCTAGGCAAGCACTCTACCACTGAGCCACCTTCCCAGCCCCCTATTACTGAATATTCTATACACTCCTTTTTTTAAGCCAGTTCTGGGGCTTGAACTTTGGGCCTGGAAACTGTTTCTGAGCTTCTTTTCTTCAAGGCTAGCACTCTACCACTTGAACCACAGTGCAATTTCATTTTGTAATTTATTGGCGAGAAGAGTCTCACGGGGGGAGGGAAAGAGGGAGAAAAATAAGGGAAAGGGTAACAAGTTAGACAAGAAATGTAATCACTACCTTAGTTATGTAATTGCAATCCTTCTGTACATCTCCTTAACAATAAAATTAAAAAAAAAAAAGTCTCACAGACTTTCCTGCCCCAGCTGGCTTTGAACCATGATTCTCAAATATCAGCTTCCTGAGTAGCTACAATTACAGATGTGAGCCAGCAGTGTCAAGCTCTATATACTCCTTTAGAAATTTTTTTAATAGGGATGGGAGAGAAAAACTGGGAGAGAGAGCGGGAAGGAGTCACACTGTCCAAAAAGAAGTGTACTTATTACCTGACTGAGACAGTAATTCTTCTGTACAACACCTTAATAATAATAGAATTAAAAACAATTGTTCCTTCTTTCACTTAGCACATGCAATTTTTAAAGTCAAGAAAGTAGCAAATGTGAAGTACATATATAAGTGCCATCTTAAAAAATCTAGGTAACTGGGGCTGGGAAGGTGGCTCAGTGGTAGAGCGCTTGCCTTGCATGCATGATGCCCTGGGTTCGATTCCTCAGCACCACATAAGCAGAAAAAAAAGCTGGAAGTGGCGCTGTGGCTCAAGTGGTAGAGTGCTAGCCTCGAGCTGAAGAGCTGAGGGACAGGCCCACAACCGGACACCCCCCCCCAAAAAAATCTAGGTAGCTGTACTGGGGCTAGTGGTTCAAGTGGTAGAGCAAGTATGAGGCACTAAATTCAATTCCAAGTAACGAAAGAAAAACAAAATAAAGGCAGGTAGTTAAAAAAGAATTTGCTGTTTATCATAGGAGAAAATATGACTTAGTTTTAAAATTTTTATTTCAACAGCATAATACTGAATGGATCATCTTCATTATTTTGATCCTTTGTGAGCAAAGGTCTAAAATCATCGGATTCCTGCCAGCTACTTGTGCCTGGTTGGTGGCAATGGAACAAAGTCTCTCTTTTAACACCAGGTATCTGAACTCAAGCTTTGTTAGTACTGGCTGGGGTGACTGCCTGTAGATCAAGAGCATACACTGAGGCTCCTGTAAGTGGGATTCAAGACAGCATATTCTAACAGGATCCTCAAGAATGTCTGTCTAGTTTCCCTTGGAGTACACTACATGACTCTAAGCCTTCTAGATATCTTGAGTTGGTTCTCAAATCAACTCAAGGGCTCAAAACATAGAGGTGACAAACAGCTTGTGGCATCTGTGGCAGACACTGAGTCTAAGGTGTTCAAAGGTAGAGCCATAATGGCCTTGAGACACAAGAGGAATCAGAGTGACTTGTTTTTGTTTGGTTCCATTGTACTTAATGTTACTCAGTATGTGCAATTAATGCTAGTCTTTGACATTTGTATCTTTTTCTCCTTCATCTCTTTTGATGTTGAGCATGGTACACAGTTGTATCATAAGATGCTGTCAATCAGTGAGCATTGAATACATACAACATGTCAGCTGCCTGCCCCTTCTTCCCACTGAAAGCTGGCACTTACGTCTGTGACGATGGGCACACCCAGGTGAGCCATGTTGGTGATGATCTCACTATCCTCTGGCGGGATCTGGGCATGCTGGATCAGTTTGTTCAGGTTCTCCTCAGTGATGCCTGAGAGACAAGAGAGCTGGTCACCACACCAAACCTTCCCATCTCCACTCTTAGAAGCAGAGCTGACCACTTTCCTTTCCCTCCTCAGGATTGGCAGACATCAACCTATCTACCCCATCAGCTTGACTCTCTGATGAGAGCAAAAACATTACTGCAGTCCCACTTGAATTGCTCTGTACAGAGTGATAGCCATTGGCAATTGCCTCACAGTCTCTGTTTACATCATCCTGGCTTCTCAGCAGTCTCTACCCACCCCACCCCACCCACACCAAAGTCAAACTGGAAAGAGTCTTATTAAGTACCTTTTGCACCTTTACAGGCATCTTTACATCTAAGAGGCTGAGCTCTAATAAACTGGCCATAAAGGCAGTCAGCCCTCCTTTCTCCCAGCTCTGGCCTCCTCTATGTCACCCATGCTCCTTATTAACTCAGAATTCCATGTCATTCACGCTCCTTATAGAATACCTAGGGGATGTCCAACCTCTGGTTGCAACTGACTTGAATACATTGCACGTCCCCAAATATAAGGAGCCTCTGGAATCTTCCTTCTTCCCCTTTCCATGTCTTTTAATCCAGTTTTCTCTCAAGGCTTATACCCTCCTCCTCTATTGTCCTCCCTTCTTACCATTCTTCAGAAAGATATAGAGAAGGATGATGCGGATTTTGTCATACGTGCTGACATTTGCATCCAGCAGGATGGGGACGATGGCTCTCATGGGGTCTTTGATCTTCTCCCCCTCGGCGTCTGTGCCCATTGCCAGATCCTGTAGAAAACACACCCAGCTGTCCCTAATTCTGTAACAATTTGAACAGATGGTATCTCTTAGAAATTCACAACCTATAAATGCCTGGCTTTGTGGTATGGTTGGGGTAGGCTGTGAACAAGTCTTCTTGCACGTGCTGCAGTTAGCATTAGTGTCCTCAGCACTGCTTTGCATGAAAGCCCCTGAGTTCCTTTTCTAAAACCAGCAACTGTGGTGTTCCCTGCAGGCAAATGTCAGGGTTCCTGCGTCTATGAGGTGCCAGGCCCTGCAGAAGGGTCAGGCTGAAGGGCATGTGAAGGCTTTGATGTCATGAAGTGTCGCCGCGAGGCTGGATTCTTTCCACTCTGCTTCTCCTGGCATTGGAAGGACACACTTTTTGAGTAGGATTTTTAACCTCTGTTTCAATCAGAATTTTTCAAAGGAATGGGGGGGTCCCAAACCTGCAGATCTAAACCTAGGGGATGGAGAGAAGAAAAAGGATAACAAAAGAACCAGAGATAAAAAGACTTAAGTGAGCATAACTCATAGCCCACAGGACTGTCAGGTGACACTCAGACCCAGGGAGTGGTGCATTGTTCTCAATGAACCAAGAGTCATCTGCTCCACTACTGAGTGACCCACAGCTGCAGCTGGGTTTCTTGCAGGCTCCCCTTTTCCTCTCAAAATTCTGTGAGTTCATATAAATGATTATTTTGTATCCAGAGTCTCTTTTCAGGCAGGGGCTAAGGAAGGCTAGACCCCTTTCCTATGTCTTCTCGCCAGCCTCATTAGGTGTTTGCTTCGCATGACCGACTTTAGGACTTTCTCTAAGCCTAGTGAAATGTAACTGGTTTCCCAATACTTTTGAGCACTTAGGAAAAAATTTAAGCTTCCAAAGATGAATCAGAAACTACATTTTTACTGGTAACCTGCCTGCTAGTCAAGCTTTTGGAAAGAGTACATGTGTTTTCTGAGATTCCCCCAAGAAATGGACTTTTAAGAGGGCAGCACCACAGGACATGGCTTGCAAACCTAAGCTGGGCCTGTTACAACAGGCCAGATAATTCATATCTTGCTTTCACCCTGAGAACCTGAGCTGGCATTTTTCTATTAAAATAAAAGACCTTCTGCTGAAGCTTCAGAATCTTTATAAATGTTTTTTCTCTTCAATGACATATAGGGCCTGGCGGTATAATGCATGAGGCCCTGGGTTCAATCCCCAGTATCTCTCTCTCTCTCACATACACACACACACATACACACACACACACACACACACACACACACACACAGGGTTGACACACAATATAGAGACACTGTCACAGAGACTGGAGGGCCAAGTGAGATTCCACACAATACACTCGAAAAACATGTCAGTTCTGTGGTTTTACTTTTGCAAATGTAGAAAATAAAGCAGAAAGAAACCAACACATACACCAGAGAGAGAAACAGAACTCCAATCTCCGCTTCTCAGTGCCAAGCCTAATTCTGATCAGTAAGGTTTTGGGACAACTCCTGGTCTGCAGCTGCACTGCCCTCCCTAAGGCTCAGGATTTCCACACTTTGTCAGGCCATAGCAGGAGATAAACACATTCACAACAAAATCCAGCCAGCTCTGTACATGTAAGTAAGGCTCAGGACATTCCAAGTAAAAACAGAGCCTCTGAAAAGAGCCAGCATGCAAATTCCAAATGGCACAGCACTCCAGACCGACCTTGTCCCTACCATTCAGAGTGGAACCACATAGCGGAGACAAGACGTGAGATCAGAGGCTCTCCCATATCTATTTCCTATGATTCTGCAGGAGGATGTTCAAGGTCAGATATTAAAATTCAGCTGAGTAAGTGAACACTACAGAGCACCTGCCATGCAGAAAAGGAAGGAAAAAAATCCTACCTGTTCCACCCGGCAGAGTTTATCCACAGTGCCTTGGTAATGCTTCATACAGTCTTCAGCAAGGTGCAGGTGAGTTGAATACTAGGAAATGTATTGCAGAATCGGTGACCAAGAAATTAGTGATGTATGCAACATCTACTGAGTACCTCCTATGTGACAAACACTGCGTTGGCTGCTAATAATTATTTAGCCTCACAAAGGAGATAAAGTATGTACAATTAGTATTCCAACATCATAGGCAGCAAATGTTACATGTAAGGAGAGGAAGGATAGATTCTCAAGAGATGAAAGGGAAAATTCTTCAGAAAGGGTAGGCATGATGGTTTTATAACACATCCACTGACTCTCTAATACAGGGCGCTTCAGGAGGGGAGCTTAATTCCCATCTCCTTGAGTATGGGCTGGATCCAGTGCCTTGCTTCAAACAAACACTGGACAGGAAGTAATGATGTATGACTTTCAAGATCAGGATACAGAAGGTCTGACATCCTCCTGGCCAGCTCTCACCCCATCTGGGGGATGCTAATGGTGATGTTAGGCAAGTACAGGCCTATGTGCTGAACAACTGAGTCCTCCCACCTACAGCAGGGGAGGAGGAAGAATAAAGGATGCGAAAGAGCAGGGATGTGGTTGTTTATGCCTATAATCCTAGCTACTCAGGAGGCAGAGATCTGAGGACTGTGGTTTGATGCCAGCCCAGGCAGAAAAGTCCCTGTGAGACTCTTTTTTTTGGTCGGTCGTGGGGCCTGAACTCTGGGCCTGGGCACTGTACCTCAGCTCTTCAGCTCAAGGCTAGTGCTCTACCATGTAAGCCACAGTGCCACTTCTGGTCTTTTCTGCTTATGTGGTGCTGAGGAATCAAACCCAGGGCCTCATGCATGCAAGGCAAGCAATCTACCACTGAACCACCTTCTGAGCCCTGAGACTCTTATCTCTAATTAACTACTCAAAAAATAGAAGTGGTGCTGTGGCTCAAGTGGTTTTATCTTTGTTGCTATTGGTTCTAATGTACTTAAAAACATACTATGTGATTTTTTTTTTTGTTTCTTTTGTATGTTCTTCCCCATTGGTATAACCCGTTTTCACCGTATTTGATTCCGGTAGAATGCTAACTTTGAGCAAAAGAGTTCTGACTGACCAAAAAAAAAAAAAAAAAGATGAGAAAGAGGGTGCTCTTTTGAACTCAGGGCCTGGGTGCTGTCCCTGAGCTTTTGTGCTCAAGCCTACCACTCTTCCACTTGAGCCACAGCTACATATTTGGGCAGCTTAGTGAAGAGTCCCACAGACTCTTTCCTGGGCTGACTTCAAATTGAAGTTCTCAGATCTCAGCCTCCTGAGAAGCTAGTATTACAAGCATGAACCACTGGTGCTCAGCAGAGAAAAGAAAGGGAGGGTATAAGAGGAATCTCAGCCTTCTTTCCTCTCCCTTCCTTCTTCCATCCCTCTTCCTCTCTCCCTCCTTCCTCTCTATCTCTCACTCTATTTGAAAAGAACACATAGCTGTAGATTTCAAAGAAGCAGACTAGTAGGGCTGTTTTTTTGCAGCTGTTTATATCTATGACTAACATAGATTACTTAGGGCCACCACACCTTGCTGAGCTCCTTCTGGTACTGAGGCATCTTCTTCAGCATCTGGGACAGGTCCCGCATGGTGGTCTATGAGGGAAAGGAAAGCACATGGTTTTACTCCAATGGCCTTGACTCAGTGTGGCTTTGTGAGGCTGGTGGGCACAGGACAGAAGGGCAGCCACATTAGACTTCATAAGCGTAAAACGACTCTGTTAAGCATAAGATTGTATTTTAGATTTCCAGGCATCTGGCACAAAAATTATTGATCCAGATGTCCTGGTTGTCTGCCAGATGGGGAATTAAACCCTGAAATCTGGTAACTTTTATTCCATAAGTTTTTGGGGGCTTTTTTTTAGGGCAGGGGTAACAGTCATGAAACTTGAAATTTAGGGCCTGGGTGCTGTCCCTGAGTTTTTCTGCTCAAGGCTAGAGCTCTCCCACTTAAGTCACAGCTCTACTTCCAGCTTTCTTAGTAGTTAATTGGAGATAAGAATTTCATAGGCTTTCCTGCTGGGGCTGGCTTTGAACTACAATCCTCAGGTCCCAGCTTCAGGAATAGCTAAGATTACAGGTATGAGTCACTGATGCCTGGCCAAGTTTTATTCCATGTTTATTGGATTAGAAACTTGTAAGGGTATGATGCTTGCCAAGAAAAAAGATGTCGCTCCACCCAAGTAGTCTTGGCAATGCCTACACTTCACCCAGCAGGAAGGCAGCTATGGGTAGTCAGGTAGAAAGGAGATTGGAGAGGGCTGGATCTTGACCAGCACAATGGTTCTGTTTACTCTCTAACTGTGTGACTCACCTAATTGAACCCATTTATCCAGGAAAATTTTACTAGACTATTACTACATACTAGGTACTATCAGGTGCTACAGATGCTTTAATGAGCTGAACAGATACACGAAAGGCAATAGAATGGATTAGAGCTTTTTGACTCACTGGATAGTGTAAGGGCACTTAACACACAACACATACCTAGCCAGCAAGGGGCTTAGCTAGGGAACTAGGAAAGGTAATGAAGTGGGAACACAGAGAGTAAGGCAGAAGACAATTGGGCCTGGGAAAGCATGTCCGGGGGGGGGGGGGGGGGGGCTTTATCCTAACGGGAGCTAGAAGATGATAGTTTTGGCATGCATAGTTTGTAAAGTCCTCATCCCTTAATTAAGTAAGAATGCCACTTCTGACAGAGAAGAAGAAGCTGGGGCATAGAAAGGACCTGATGAGTCAGGTTATAAATTCCAATTCCACTATGAGGTTAAAAAAAATTCCCAAGATTCTTCTGGTTTTAAATGAACTATGATCTCAAACAGTAAACATTAATCCTCCAAGTAACAAAAGGCAGTTCTATAGAAACATCAAATGATGGCCATTCCAGATGTGAACCTTTTTTTTTTTTAAAAAAAACTAGTTTTGGTTCTGGGGGATCAAATATAATGCATACAAGCACTCTATCACTGAGATATATCCCCCACTGAGATATGAATCTAAGTAAGAAATCAAGACAAAGTGACATTAAGTATAAAGAAAAATATCACTTTGCTAATTCCCTAGTCCTTGCCAGAGAGAGATTATGGGCTGGTTTTCAGGGTGTGCATTTACCTTCTCTCCAGTGTTCATTCTCTTGCTAGAAGAAAAATCCTTCAGAGACCTTGTGACTTCTCTGGAAAATGGAAGGAGGCAGTTAAGTCCACAGTGGCGCCGCAGGCTCTCTACAGGCCTTAGAAGTCAGGTACTAGCTTCCCTTGAGAATTTCTGTCAACTTTCTGACTGCTGAGGTATGCATTTAAAGTGATTTTCAAAGTGAAGAGACACCTTTTAAAAAAAATTAGTATGCTAAACCACTGGCCTACAGAGTAGGGTATATTAGACAATTCAAGGGGCAAAGAGCAAAAGTATCAGAAAATCTTGTTTATTTTCAGTCATCTTTTTCAAATACATGTCTAAACATTCAAATGCAATAACTATATTTACTTTGTCTTCTCTCTCTCTCTTTTTTTAATCATAGAGCTTGCACTCAGCCCTGGCATTGTCCTTTAGCTTTTGGGAAGGCTGGTACTGTATTACTTGAACCATAGCTCTACCTCCAGGTTTTGGTTTTTGTCAAGTCATGGGCTTGAACTCAGGGCCTGGGCACGGTCCATGAGCTCTTTCATTCAACGCTAGTGCTCTACCTTTGAACCAGAGCTCCACTTCCAGTTTTCTGGTGGTTAATTGGAGATAAGAGTCTCAGAGATTCCTGCCCAGGCTGACTTTGAACCGTGATCCTCAGATCTCAGCCACCTTCAGTTTTTGCTGGTTAATTTGAGGTAAGAATCTCACAAACTTTGCTGTCCAGGCTGGCTCTGAATTGTGATTCTTAGATCTCAGCCTCCTGAATACTAGGATTATTGAGCAGAATGTATCTTTCTGAGAAAACAGAACTGTTATCTCCATTTAAGGCCCACTAACAATGCTTAAATACTAGAAACATTCTGAACACTTTCAGATAGCAGTAAACTCAGTACACAAGGTCAGCTCTTGCTCAGAAACTTCAGCAAAGCTGGCAGGAAGCCGGCATACCAGCTCTGCAAAAGAAAAAGTCCAACTGCATGCAATCGTGTCTGAATCTTTCTTTTAGTGGAAGCAACAGGCTTTAAATACTTAATGTTTATAAAGCACTTTTCTAAGAGAGCTACCAATATTTTCCAAGAATCTGAAAAGCTATCCTAATATACAACAGATTTACTAACTTTGTGGACTGGATTAGCTCAAGTTCAAAGTACGGAAAGGACCCATCATCCTTGGTTAGCATGTTAATGCTTTACAAATTCACAAATGCAACAAATTCACTCCCAATTGCAGTGTATATCAACCACAGTTAAGAGAAGCATCCACCCTGTATAAATGTGGAGGAAATGCTCTTACTGGGACACTTCTGCAATGTGCTTGTGGCGCAGTGCGATCCACAGGTCGTCATCTTCATCCAAGAGCACCTCCTTCACCCGTGCTTCTCCAATGCCGCTGGTCTCGTACCTATAGGAAGTAGAACTTGGGTAGAGCTTTGTGCTCACAGCATTCCCCAGACCCTCTTTGGTTTGTAATGACAGCAGCTCAGTCCTCAGTTGCCAGGTGATCAAAGGAATAGCTTATAACAAGAATGATTATCTTATGTGCCAGTCAAGCCAGCATGGCAGCATGGCTGCAATTCTCTGGGCAGAGAGAGACTCAGTACTCTATTAAAAGCCAACAACTTGGAGTTTTGCTTTAATTTTTGCAGTTGGCTCATATGAACATTCCCCAAGTCACCTGGGTGCAGGGCAGGAAATTGGGTTATATGTGGGTTTAGTTACTTCAAGGAGTGAGGCAAAGCTTTTATTTTTCCTTTCTGGGCAAGAGCATAGATACCATTCCCAAATGAGTGGCTTCTAAATGGCTTTCAGCAGCTAGCTGTGACACGATCTTGGTATTTGGCTACATGTGAAATCATGAATGGCTGAAAGAAGTAAGAATCACTGGAGCCAGGAGAAGAGTTGAGAGTAGTATTTTCTGAACCTTCATTTTGAAATGACTATCTTTCTTTTTTTTGGGGGGGGTCCGGTCGTGGGGCCTAAACTCTGGGCCGGGGCGCTGTCCCTCAGCTCTTCAGCTCAAGGCTAGTGCTCTACCACTTGAGCCACAGCGCCACTTCTGGCTTTTTTCTTTTTGCTTATGTGGTACTGAGGAATCAAACCCAGGACCTCATGCATGCAAGGCAAGCACTCTACCACTGAGCCACCTTCCCAGCCCCTGAAATGACTATCTTTCTGAACAAGATGACAAAGTAAATGACAAAAGAACAATGCAGTCTGACTTCATAAAAAGAAAAAACAGGGGTGACATTGTCCCTTTACCTGATGTAACTGTAACCCCTCCCCACATCACCTTTATAATAATTAAAAATTTACAAAATAAAGAAGTGTGTTTAGAATCTGAATTTCTGATGATAGACACCAAGAAAAATACTTTTTATAATGAAGAAAACAATTCCACTGCATAGAAAGTTCAGTAAGAAACTTTTGTTGATATAGTTTGTTTTCATGTTACCTATAATTAAGGAATTTTACTTCTGAATAAGATACACCTTCATACATTCACACCCACATACAACCCATGGACATATTCAAGCAGACTATGAATTTAGGTGATAGGAAGGTGGGAGCTAAAGATCTTCCTCTGAAAGGGCAACAAGTTCCTACTTAGAAATACCATGTGACAGAATGGCGCTGTGGCTCAAGCGCTAGAGCACTAGCCTTGAGCTGAAGAGCACAGGGACAGCACCCAAGCCCAGAGTTCAAGCCCTACAACCAACCAAAAAAAACAAAACAAAACAATAAAGTTAGGTTTATAAGAAATACCATGTGCCTTTGGGAAACAGAAAAGCTTACAGGCTTGTCTAAGAGATTGTATCAGTGCACCTGTTTTTCTTTGTCTTAAAAGAGAAGTATTCTTGGTTGATTTACAAAGCTATGGTCACCCTAAAGTCTGTAACATACTTACTTGTAAACATCATTTTCAATGGGCAGAAGATCATAACTCATAGCCTGAAAGGTCAATTCATGAAGCACAGGGGAGCTGGGGTCAAAGCCACGATCCAGAATGAGGAGCTGGGAGCGTGCCTTGTCTGGACCCTGAAAAGAAACAGGGGAATGCTTGAAAGCCCACCTGGACAACTCTAGTTTCTCCAACTAGTGAAGTCCCTTGGTAAAAGGAACAGCAAGAAGGAACCTCTGAGGAGTCAACCAACTAAAACAACATTGGTAGTCTGTCAACTGTGTGACACGAACACCAATAAGTCCCATGCTTCTATTTCCTAGTGAGGGCCCTTTGAACCAGATCCGAACTGTGAGTAGGGGCTGACGTGAGCTTATCTATACAGAGGAGCACCAGGTTCTGCTACAATCACAATGACCAACATCTGGTATGCCAGGACTTTTAACTTCAAAGCCAAGGTAGTGACAGAAGAGCTCTGTATCTTTTTAAGGGGGAAAAGTGCCAGGAACTGGAACTCACTCTAACACTGAGCTATGCCTCTGGCCCCCAGCTCTGTATGTTGATGGTAATGGTGATTACACCAATGTATACATGTGTTAAAACTGTAGAGAATTGTGTATACACAAAGTAGACACAAAAACTAGTGAAATCTGAGTGAGGACTGGAGATTGCACCATTGTCAATTTTCTGTCTGATACTGTACTACCATGGCATTTCCTGGATGAGGAGAGTTCTATGCTAAAACTAGGAAAGTCCTGGCGAACAGAAACAAGTTGGTCACCTTGGCTACAATAAATGTTATCTGGATCACCCTACCACCCCATGAGCTTTGAGCATTTCTCAAGTGGGCAATATTCAGGAAAAGCTATCCTCACATACACCTGGAGCAATAGGTATACAGGTCTATTGGACTGCCACATAAATACTGGGGTCATGGCCCAAGACCAGACTTACCTCCCCCATTGTTGGGTCATCAGCTTTATAGGCATCGAGCTTGTCCTGGATTAGCTGAGCCAACAAGGCATTGTCCTTGTATTCCCTGATAAAGGAGTAACTGAGGGTAAACGACTGGTGTACGCCAACCACACACAATGCACCAAGTCCCCCCAGTAAGAATGCAGGACAGGGCAGGGAGATCAGGAGACACAGGGGTATCATCTGTATTAGGAACAAACCCAGAGCCCTGCACATCCTAGACAAGCACTATTCCATATCCCCCAGCCATTGATTAATTATGTTTTTTACAATAAGGATATATCTACAATCTTGGCATGGTAATACACCTATAATTCTGGCACTAAGGAGGCACAGTGAGCTATACAGCAAGTCTGTCTCAAAAATAAATTAATTAAATTAAAAAAATATATATGGAAGCAGTAAAAGTCTTTCTAAGTAACTCCAGATAAACAATCACACTTCACAGAGGGCCCTGACCCTTCCTCCTTTTCTCTTGATCAGGACACCTGAGCTAGACCCATATGATCCTCATCTCTCCTCCATTCAAGTTCCTCTGGGTCTTATAGAAGGTGGATGTAGCCCACCCCTTTGCTAACCTCAGCATCACAGCAGTTCAGTCCTCAGCTATATTCCTGCTCCTTAGTTAAAAATGAAGAAAGAGGGGCTAGGAATGTGGCTCAATGGTAGAGTGCTCGCCTTGCATGCATGAAGCCCTGGGTTTGATTCCTCATAAGCAGAAAAGGCCAGAGGTGGTGCTGTGGCTCAAGTGGTAGAGTGCTAGCCTTGAGCTGAAGAGCTGAGGGACAGCACCCAGGCCCAGAGTTCAGGCCCCCACGACTGACAAAAAAAAAAAAAGAAAAGAAAAAAGCTGGACGCTGGTGGCTCACATTTCTAATCCTAGCTACTAAGGAGGCTGAGATCTGAGGATCACAGTTCAAAGCCAACCCAGGAAGGAAAGTCTGTGAGATTTTTTTTTTGGGGGGTCCAGTCGTGGGGCCTGAACACTGGGCCTGGGCGCTGTCCCTCAGCTCTTCAGCTCAAGGCTAGCACTCTACCACTTCAGCTACAGCACCACTTCTGGCTTTTTTCTTTTTGCTTATGTAGTGCTAAGGAATCGAACCCAGGGCCTCATGCATGCAAGGCAAGCGCTCTACCACTGAGACACCTTCCCAGCCCATCCATCCGTGAGATTCTTTTTTTTTTTGTCGGTCATGGGGCTTGAACTCTAGGCCTGGGCGCTGTCCCTCAGCTCTTCAGCTCAAGGAGAGTGCTCTACCACTTGAGCTACAGCGCTACTTCCAGTTTTCTAGTGGTTTATTGGAGATCGGAGTCTCACGGTCTTTCCTGCCCTGGCTGGCTTTGAACCGCGATTCTCAGATCTCAGCCTCCTGAGTAGCTAGGATTACAGGCGTGAGCCACCGGCGCCCGGCCATCCGTGAGATTCTTATCTCCAATTAACCACCAGAAAACTGGAAGTGGTGCTGTGGCTCAAGTGGTAGAATGCTAGCCTTGAGCTGAAGAGCTCAGGAACAGTGCTTAGGCCCAGAGTTTAAACCCTACAACCTAAAAAAAAAAAAAAAACAAAAAACCAAAAACAAACCCCACAGCTTCTGTTCTTATCTTCTAGCAGGCTTTTGATGGGGAGTGCCAACAATGAGGGAAGTCAGTGCTAACAGCATTGAGCTCTTTTCGTATGGCCCCGATTCCAGTTTGATGCAGCTTCCCCTTGAGATAATACTCACTATTAGCCCAGTCAGACCCTAAACTTGTAATATTCCTGCCTCAGCCTCTTGAGTGCTGGGAATACAAGTGTATGCTACAATGCCCTGTAAATCTTGACCCTCTGGAGATGATTTCCAGAGGAAACAAAGCCAGAGAACAACTTGGAGACAGTTCCAGACTAAGGGACAGAGAGATGCCTTTTACTGCAGGCTAATGTGCTGCCTTACCCCCGATACCGCACAGCTGGGTACTCCTTCAGGGTGGCACACAGGGTTGCGATCTGCTCTGCCAAACGCTCCAGAATAGGATTCTTCATCTGAGCTTTGTGAGGACTGTAGAAACTCTGGAAAGAGTCAGCAGAGTCCAGGGAATATACCTGAGAAGGAGGAAAAATACACATGGTAGGTGAGGGTGGTGAGCTGCTGGAGTTCCTCTACCCTAGCAGTCCATCTATGGGACATGATTGCATTTATTCCAGTGCTAGGCACTGCACTAAACATTTTGGAACTAGCAGTGACCCAAGCACACCTATTCTCAAATGTAGTAAAAGGAGGTTGAGAGCCGGGCACCAGTGGCTGACTTGTAATCCTAGCTACTCAGGAGGCTGAGATCTGAGGATCGAGATTCAAAGCCAACCCAGGCAGGAAAGTCTGTGAGACTCTTATCTCCAATAAACCACTAGAAAACTGGGAGTAGTGCTGTGGCTCAAGTGGCAGAGCGCTCGCCTTAAGCTGAAGAGCACAGGGACAGCGCCCAAGCCGAGTTCAAGCCCCACAATTGACCAAAAAAAAAAAAAGGAGGTTGCCATTAAGCAGAATGAGAAGTAAAATGTGGTTTTGAGAACTTGATAAATGCATGGGAAAGTAAGAAAGCAGAGAAACAATGTCTAAAAGGGCTGGACAAGGAAGACACTTGGACATCTGAACAGGGCTTGAAGGAGCTGAGGTGTTCCGTCTCCAGCAGGGGACTTCCACATGGTGAGATGAGTGGTGCCAAAGCCCTTGGCAGGTGTGTGTGCCTAGGGGTCAGTGAGCAAGGGAAGGGGAGGAGATTAGTGTAGGAGATCACCGGCTAGAATGAGGTTGTTTTTTTTTTTCTTTGTGTGTTTGTGTGCTTGCCTGCATGTACCAATGCCCAATACTGAGGTTTGAACTCAGAGCCTGGGATCTATACTTTAGCATTCGTTTTCAAGGTTAGCACTCTATCATTTGAGCCACAACTACTTCAGGATTTTTGGTGACTAATTGGAGATAAGAATCTCATGAACTTTTCTCCCATCTGTCTTCAAATCACAGGTTTTCAGTTCTCAAACTCCTTAGTAGCTAGGATTGGCTTTTAACAAACAAGGGACAAGTTGGAAATTGCATTATTACTAGGTAAACAAGAGCTTTTTATAGGTTTAATATCTTATCCTCAACAAAGCATTTTTCATATTCTCATTTCTTCTTCTCCTCCTCCTTCTTCTTCGTTGTTGTTGGTGGTAGTGGTTGTAGGGCTTGAACTCAGGGCCCAGGTGCTGTCCTGGCTTATATTTTATTTTTTTGTTGGTCGTGGGGCTTGAACTTTGGGTCTGGACGCTGTCCCTCAGCTCTTCAGTTCAAGGGTAGTGCTCTACCACCTGAGCCACAGTGCCACTTCTGGTTTTCTGGGCTGGCTTTGAACCGCAATCCTCAGATCTCAGCCTCTTGAATAGCTAGGATTTAGGCATGGGCCACAGATACCTGGCTTGTCCTTTAGCTGTATCTGCTCAAGGCTGACACTCTACCATTTGAGCAACAGTTTTACTTCCAGCTTTGGTGGTTAACTAAAGATAGAGTCTCATGGACTTGTCTGCATGGGCTGGCTTTGAACTACAATCCTCGGATCTCAGCCCATTGAGTAGCTGGGATTTACAGGCACGAAACACTGGCACCTGGCTTATTATTATTTTGTCAGTTGTGGGTTTGAACTCGGCCTAGGCACTGTCCCTGAGCTCTTCAGCTCAAGGCTAGTGCTCTACCACTTAAACCACTTCCAGTTTTCTGGTCATAATTGGAGGTAAGAGTCTCATGGACTTTCCTGCCTGGGCTGGCTTTGAACCGTGATCTTCAGATCTCGGCCTCCTAAGTAGCTAGGATTACTAGAACTACAGGTGTGAACTACCAGCACCAGGCTCATTACTCTTTTTGTGAAGAGTTCTGGAGGTATAAATCTTTTTTCTTGAACTATTGAGAATACTTTCATTATTCTCTTAAGTATACTTCTGTATACTACCTTGATTTTTTTTTAAGTGATTGAAAAGGTGGTCTATGGCCATATCACCCTGAATGTACCTGATGTCATCTAAAAAAAGGTTCATTACTTTCTTAAAAGTTCTGAAATATACGATTGGATAAGTTAACACTAGGTTTTGTTCAGTTCAGGTGATGATGGAACTGACATACCTCTCCCTCCCTCCCCCCCCCCCCCCGCCAAAAAAAAAACAAAAAAAAAATCGTGCCATTGGTCAGGCAGGAAATAGGCTTCAAGTCATGGGAGAAGGGAATGAGGCAGGCTTTCAGTGTTCACACTTTTATCTCTTCCACCTCTCTTCTAACAACAGACCACTCTCTGGTTCTATAAGCCAATCTATGAAGATCTAGTATACCACAATCATCTTTTTTTTCTTGTCATAAAACATATAAAAGTCTTGTTGTCTCTAGTTCCTTGTTTGCTACAAAAATACATCCTAATAAGTCTTAAAAATATTAAGATAAACTTTGTATATTCTTTGCCAATCAGCTTCACATTGACAGGTTTTGGAACTTTGTTTTTTAACAAGGGGAGAGCTTTGCTGCTGTGGCCTTTGGTGTGTAAAGTGTTAACAGCTAATGATGGAGGAGACCATCTGTTCTCATACCACGTGATGAGCTGGGGCTATTGCCAATAAAAACAATGTCCTTCGAGCAGATGGGATGCTCTGAGCCCTTCCCTTCCTTCCCTCTCCATATTCTTTTAGCACTGGCTACTTGGGTTATTCAAGGAGTCATCTGAAAGGAGTGAACTCTGAACAAGGAGAAAATGAATGCAAGAAAAGGCACAAATAAAAAGAGATTTAAATATTTTTGGAAACATGAGGGGAGGGGAAAAAATCAGCAATAGTGGGTAAACAAGATGAGGGCAGTGGGCAGGTGGCAATAGAAAACCATTTGCATTAAATAAACGCCCACATATAACATGTCATTTGGCATCTTTATTACCCCCCCAACACCCCACCCTCTCAGAGTCCTGATATGGTAACTAGGGTGTAGATCATAATCGTATGTACTCACTGCCTGCCCAGCCTCACCTGGGATTCATAAGGGAGAAATGCTATGTTGATTTCCGTCAGTGTTTTGATGACTTTGGCAGCCCGAGATTTCACCAGCTCATTAAACAGGGCATCTGGACAAGCTGCAAGAATGACAAAAGACACTTGAGTTTCCTGTCTACCTGCTGGCTCATAATTATAGTGCATTCTTTATTTTTAAATGGCACCTAGAAGTTCATTTTATTGTAAAATATCCAATTCCTTTAGGGTATAAATGGAATGTAAAACCACCTGCAGGGCCCTTAACATACATCACAGCGACCTGAACAGCAAAAGACTGCGATACTCTTTCTTCCAAGCAATTGAAGGAAAAGCAACAAGTGATTAAGAGAGATAAGAAAATGAGCACCAAACATCTAACATGTTCACGATGAAGAAAAAAAGAAAGAAAAAAGAAATCAAATTCTCCATAGTGACTTGTTGGACGATTTCCTTAAAAAAATGAAAATCCACCGGGCGCCTGTGGCTGGCTCATGCCTGTAATCAGCTACTCATGAGGCTGAGATCTGAGGATCATGGTTCAAAACCAGCCTGGGCAGGAAAGTCCATGAGACTCTTATCTCCAATTAATGACCAGAAAACTGGAAGTGGTGCTGTGGCTCAAGAGGTAGAGTGCTCTCCTTGAACTGAGGAGCTGAGCTCAGGGACAGGCCCAGAGTACCCAGCCCCACAACCAACAAGAAAGAAAGAAAGAAAGAAAGAAAGAAAGAAAGAAAGAAAGAAAGAAAGAAAGAAAGAAAGAAAGAAAGAAAGAAAGAAAGAAAGAAAGAAAGAGAGAGAGAAAGGAAGGAAGGAAGGAAGGAAGGGAAAAAAAGAAAAAGAAAGAAAGAAAAGAGAAAAAGAAAAAGCTTGGAGAAGAAACTGGGTAAAACCTAATTTATATGCTTAGTCACTCATCTCTCATAGTTTTCTGACCAGAATTTATGTATAACCCACATAGTTAGAAAACTAACTCCAGGGCAATGGTTCAGATTCTGTAAAACACAAAGACTACTGGACTGGAATCTTTATAGTTGCAGCCCTTATGAAAACATGCTATAAGTTACAGAGATATCTGGAAATCTGTACAATGAATTGCCCAGGCTAGCATCAAAAAAATTCTGCTTAGCAGGAAGCCCTTTGTCCTTAGAAGAGGTGCTCAGTGAGCACATTTTCCACAGGAAGAACTGCACAATCTGGTAGGTCTGTATTTGTGTATGTTTGTCTTATATGCAATTTATCTTCTAAAAGGAAAATAAAAGACCGGGACAACCATGTCAACAACCCATTTCCTCCATATTGACCTGACTTGGGTCTGCCTCACCCTGCCTAGTGGTGCACTTGCAGGTGTACTTACAATCAGTGAAGAACACATGTGCAGCCCGATATTTAGCAGTTGGCGGGTCCTTAAAGTCACTGATGAGAGAGTGGACAGACTGTGGACAGAACAAAAGAAGGTACTAAGTCCATTCTAGAAGCATATGGGACCAATATCTGAACCAAGTTAAAAGAAGCTGGTTTCAGATTCCTTACACAAAACAACAGGGAGTTTCTAATGTATAATTCTAATATTCATGTTCATCCATAACCAGGTTCTGAGTACTTAAAATTACAATTATTGTTAGCTGGGTGCTAGTAGCTCATGCCTTTAATCCTAGCTACTCAGGGGCTAAGATTTGAGTATTGTATGGTTCCAAGCCAGCCTAACAGGAAAGTCGTAAGATTTCTTCCCCCAGGGACTGGACCCAAAACCCTAAGTTCAAGCCTCAAGATTGGGGGGAAAATAAGATTGTTTTAGAGTTTGGCTCATTCCAGAATGAGTAGGTCCCCATAACCTGAGTATCTATGGAGATTCACACTGATGGAATGTCATTCTGTCAAGTTAGTTGACGCTACAGAAATTCACATGTAAAACAATTTTCAAAAGTGAAAAGAAGCCAGGTATCAGTAGTTCACGCCTGTAACCCTAGCTACTCAGAAGGCTGAGATCTGAGAATCCTGGTTCAAAGACAGCCTGGGCAGGAAAGTCTGTGAGACTCTTATCTCCAATAAACCACCAGAAAACTGGAAGTGGTTCTGTGGCTCAAGTGGTAGAGCACTAGCCTTGATCTGAAGAGCTGAGGGGCAGAGCTCAGGCCAAGTTCAAGCCCATGATCAAAAAAAAAAAAAAAAGAATGTGGAAAAAATCAGAGGAGTGAGCCGGGCGCCGGTGGCTCTCGCCTGTAATCCTAGCTACTCAGGAGGCTGAGATCTGAGGATCGCGGTTCAAAGTCAGCCCGGGCAGGAAAGACCGTGAGACTCTTATCTCCAATAAACCACTAGAAAACCGGAAGTGGCGTTGTAGATCAAGTGGTAGAGCGCTTGCCTTGAGCTGAAGAGCTGAGGGACAGCGCCCAGGCCCAGAGTTCAAGCCCCATAACCGACAAAA